CACATAAGCAAAAAGAAAAAAGCCAGAATGGCGCTGTGGCTCAAGTGGTAGAGCGCTAGCCTTGAGCTGAAGAGCTGAGGGACAGCACCCAGGCCCAGAATTCAGGCCCCACGACCGGAAAAAAAAAAAAAAAAAAGAACTGATTAATATTGCCTGTGTGAAGAATATGCTACATTAAAGGTAGCAAATCCGTGGCACAGGGAGAACTTACGCAGAGACATGGAAATGACTTACAGCAATCAGGATAGAGAAGGCATGTCATGTGACAGTGAAATTGGTTTGGTAGCTAATCAGGCACCTTCTGACTCTTGATTCTTGTTTTCATTTTCTGGATAATTGGTTTGTCTAAACCATCACAGTACATACACACACAGCAGAAGTGTGGGTCACCTTGTGCACCCTCTGTCTTCCATGAAGAAAATTTGTGGGGCAGATCACCCTCACATTGTCACTGCAGAGCACAATTGCATCAGTTTGGTAAATACCCTGTAAACACTACAGCAAGAGGATTTTACCAGGGACTTGGTGACATATTTGTTAATCTCTGAACAAACACATTATAGGAACCCTGAGTATATTGATAAGAAAAACAGTTGCCTTAACTATTTTGTAAATGTAGATTTGAAGGTTATCCAAAAGGGACACAACTGTTAGGGGAAGTTATACTGAAGACACATGTAGAGGGCACAGCCCTGGACTTGGCCTACAAATGCTCTAAAAGTGAGGTTTTGACTAGGGAGCCTGTGCAGCCCCAAGCAGGGTATTTTCTACTCCTACTCTTTAAAGGCAGAAGTAAAGGCCAGTCATCCCAAATGAACACAGCTGAGGCTGAAGGCCTACTTTGCCTTTTCCCCAGCTACCTGCTGTAACCCCTGCAACCCAGCCCACCTAAAACCAGCATTTTCTGTGATACTTGCAAGACACTACCTGGTCTGATAAGCATCCTGTCCACTAGCTTCTACTCAGCTTGAGGTTGGAGCCAATAATCCAGATTTGTAAGAACTGTCCCACACTCCCTACAAAAAACCCTGTGCTAAGACAAGGTAGAAAAGACTTGAGAAGAACCTCTCAAGAGCTGCTTGAGGTCCTGACTCAAGATGAGGTCACTTTAGGGAGCTGTCCCAATGCTCCAGGCAAGAGCGTTCCCCCCACTCCTCTTCCTAATGATTCCTCAAGGCACCAACTCCACGTGTGTCTTGAGTCAAAGTCCGAGCAGCAAAGGAACTTGTCACAGAAGGCACTGAGTTCGGAGAAGCTGGGGTTAGCTAGCAGGGCAGCAGCCACATGGGCAGGTAGGCTTAAAAGTTTAGACTCAGCAGGGCCTCAGATAGTTGGTTAATGTCCCGACAGTATGGCTCCCGCTGTAGGATGAAATCCACTTTGTGATCCTGACCCAAAAACACCTCCAACAGCTGGCGCCGGAGCCGCTCTGTTTCCCGGGTCTTCCGAATGCCACCACTGCCTTTTTCCTCTTCCCTCCTTCCCTTTTCCTCTTCCCTCTCCTGCTGCTTATTGCCATGTTCTGCAAAGCTCCTAGAAGGATGCTGAGCCTTAGAAGACTCCTGTTGCCTGGGAAAAAGGAGAACAAGAAGGTGATGAGCATCCTGGAGGGAAATTAGCTTTCAGGGGTTGGCATAGCTCAGTTGGTAGAGCACTAGCCAATGAGTGGAACTATCAGGTACAAGTTTAAGTCCTGGTCTCAGATGAAAGAAAGAAAAAAGGAAATTAGCCTTCAATTGACCTCCTCAGTCTGAAATTGGCTGCCTATTCCTAGTTCTCAGGAAGCAGCAGTGAAGTTCCCGATTTTGACCACTGAGTGGCAGTATCCATCCACCTGGATGAGGAGAGCAGCCTTTGAAACCAGGAAGGTGAATTCTGACTATATGATGGACTTCTGTTTCCAAATTAACCACTTAATGGCTAGAAGAGGGTGTGCTGAGTACAACTGGCTATCAGTTCAAGCAATTCTCTGCCAAATAACTGCCAAACAGATTAGGAGAAACAAGAAACAGTTTCTCTCCCAATCAGGAAGATGTCAGAAAGCTCTGTGAAGGTTGTTTTGTGGTTTGTTTTGTTGTTGTTTTTGCCAGTCCTGGGGCTTGAACTCAGGGCCTGGGCTCTCTCCCTGAGCCTCTTTGTGCTCAAGGCTAGCACTCTTACCACTTGAGCCCAAAGCACGGCTTTCAGCTTTTTCTGAGTATTTTATTGGAGATAAGATCTCATGGACTTTTCTGTCCAGCCTGGCTTTGAACTGTGAACCTCAATCTCCACCTCCTGAGTAGCTAGGAGTACAGGTGTGAGCCACTAATGCCTGGCTTCTGTGAACATTTTTAAAGGCTCATCTGAGGTGGCCCAAACTGAGATTCCTACCTAAGCCTCCCCGTTTAACAGAGAAAGGGACAAACTTTAGGGCTACCTGGCTGGCTTCTTTAGAAATTTGTCCAGGGTGGGGCCATTTCGCCCCAGTGGGTCATCAGGGACTATGAAGTGGTTCTTCACAAAAGTGAAGGGCAGCAGTCTAGACAAAGAAAGGGAAATATTGTCACAAAGGTGCCCCCAAACACCTCCCAGACAGCTGGGACCAACACCACCAGAAACCACTGGCTATCATCCTTTGAGGCACCTTCAAGCCCTTCCCAGAGTTCTCACCCAGTAGCCAGAGAAGAGCTGCTTTTAGAGAAAAGGCCTGAGTCCGTGCCCTATTCTCAAGCGAGAGCTCCCTCACCGCTCTCTGATGATTGCCATCCACTTGTCAGACTCTTCAGCCAGGTCCCGAAACTGGTCATTGGAGACAATGATCCCATTGGTCTCTTCAGCCAGCTTCACCATGAACCTGTCAGAAATCAAGAAAAACATAAGGGATGTTGGCCACATTTGGAGATGTGTTTGTCATAGATGTCAGAAAGCCAGGGTGGATGATGATACTGGCATCCAATTGA